AACGTTCATAACGTAAAATAAATGTAATTTTATCCATATTAACATAATTTATACATAATTATTTGTATAACTTTTTCTCTTAAATAACTGGGTGGATGTCTTTTAATTTGTAAAAGTATTTTAAAAGAGAGAGAGAGAGAGAGAGAGAGAGAGAGAGAAAAGCTTAAAATAACATTCAATCAGATGGTGAATTTTTAAAAATTGTTTACAAGCCACCATACAAATTTATGAGACACATAGAAAGCTTGAAACCTTAAAATTTATATGTACATGTATAATATAATGGTACAGAATATTCTGTACAATTCTTTTATATTCCATAATTGTATGTTTTGGTGAAATAAAGCATAGTGGTGAAAATCTACTACATACTGTTTTGCCCTAAGTGCGCATAAACAAAATATGTTTTCATAGGTATGTGACATTGACTGCCTGACAACTGACATTTTTAATTAGCGCATACTTTGAGTTTGGAGTCATTGCATCGTGCCATTTGTGAGATTCTCTGTGCTTCCACCGAGACCAAGAGTGGTTGTTACTTTTCTTCCATGAGAATTGATAGACTACTTGTTGCAGACACAGATGTTGTCACAAGATGACCTCCCGGCCTTATTCAATCAGGTTTATATTTCAGATTGGTACTTGGACATCAGGAAATTATGGTGCAGGTACAAATGCATGCATGAATTGCGTTCTCAATGGAAATAGATAAGGATGGATGGTTTAGGAACATAATTAAAGTTTTTCAGTTTCATCAGACATATTTAAATATAAGGTAATATTAAAGATATATAGATCGGGATAAGAATTGTTAGGATTGGAGAAAGCAGCTGGAATTTCAGATGATAACTGCATCAATTAAAGGTTTCGTACTTCACCAAGACTTAGGTTCACGCACCCCTGGCACAGTGTTTTGTAGGCCAAAGGATGATCTAGAGCCTCTGTTATTACTCTCCTGAGCTGTATATTCAGAGCCAGCAAGGATGTTGTATTTCATTTCATAATCCTCGCAAAGTGGAAACTCGATATCCAATGTACACACATACACACACTCACTGTTCTGCTTCTGGCAGTGTGGTTTACTACACTGTAGAAAGATACGCGCACACTGCACAGTCACTTACAAGATCATGTTAATAGTAAGCTGTGTGTGTTTATTGCGGTGAAAGGAATGATTCATTGTGAACACGTTCAAAGAAACCCATCATCTCTTCTTGTCACACAATATCACTGTTTTCTTTCAATGTACACTTTGCTTTTAGTATAAATAATTTTTAATATAAATGCTAGCGCAATTTAACACCAGGTGATAAGATTGTGGGTTTTTTGCATGATATTGCATAGACTCTCTCATATATGCGGTATACATGATCGTCGCACCACTTCTGCTCACCGATCAAATTTCAAACACTGTACATACTGGCGTTAATTTAATTACCCGCACTACACATCACAAATGTAGTTTTGGAAATTAATACAATATTACTATATCACTACCCTGCATCTATGAAATATATTACCAAATTGACCTATCCAATACTTAGACGGATACATAAAATTTCTACAATTGAAATTCGCTTATCAATGTCATAAAAAATGTTCTTAAAGGTTTCATCTATATTCTTATACTATTTACTTACTCAAGATTGTTTCAATCTTAAGGCTTATAGAAAACTTATTGTCATTATTATCCTAAACACTTTGCGATCAAAACGCTTGTATCCCTAATCTTAGCGTCCCTATAAGAGTCTTGTCTCATACAAGAGACCGTTGTGTTCTGGCATTCGTAAATTCGCTTAAGAAATGTGGTGAGTGAGATGGTCTCACTCATGTGATCTCAGTACCTTCCTGGGCTGCGGCCTGGGCCTCTAGACACTCCACATACAAGTCCTGTTCATGCCACTTGGCTGCTAGCTCGTCCTTTGTCATGGCATCCAATTGTTGCTGTGTTAGCTTCACACGTCTGGGTTGCCTAGGGGACTGGGGACTGCTTGGTTTTCCACCTACAACGCTGTTTTGTGGACTTCGTGGTGAAGAAGGACCTGCCGACTTAACATCGTTGCACTCCTCTGCCATTTTGTCAGATGTTACTACAACCACAGCTATAGCCTTAAGAAAATTCTAAGAGCTGCTTCTTCTTCTTTAGTAGTATAGCTGCGATGAAAGTGCTGCTGATATGGTGTGAGTGCTAGCGCACATTTGTCTGAAAAGGCAATATACAATACATGTAAATTACGTATTTTTAATGGTGTTTTCATTGAAATGATATGTAGAATAAAATAATACCAAAAATAATGAGTGGAAATAAAAATATACTTTATTAAACACTGTAAACACGTTAAAAATTGATTTTAAGTTATCACATTAAGTAATATAAAATGTTTTCTAAAAAAATGTTATAATTTCAGAATTCTGCATTTGCTGTCAACATTCACGTCAGTATCATAAATTAACTATAAAATGTAGATGTTAATTAAAACAATATAGTAAGAATCGTACAAAAGTATAACGTGGTCATATATTTTTCCTGAGAATTAATTTCGATCTTGCAATGATAGTAACATTTGTCATAAAGTACAATAAAACTTTTTCAGAGCGCAGGTTCAGACCCGGCTTTTAGAACGTACCACGTGATTCAAGTTGGTCACGTGGCTCGTTTAATGTTTTATTGCGACATGCAGGGAATGGGTAGGGAATGTAGGATCCAGTTATCTATAGTCGAAAGGAACATTGACGCCATTATGTCGACATGTCTGCCATGAAAGAAAATTTCGCGGTATAACACTAAATAGTGTTCGTTCCTTTTTTAAACGTTGTTAAAAATCATTTAGATACAGGATTTTATTCATAAAATTTGAAATTCTATTGAGAAAATACATCTATGTTCACATAAATATCCAGATGTTTGATTTTCTAATATAGATTATAGTAAAGTCATTGCATACTGTCAATGTAGTATTATGTTTATTCCACGTACCTGATCAAGTGACACGCCTATCATTCCACTGAAAAATGTTTGTATCCAATGTTCGTTATACCGTGAACCGATGAAACGCGACACCATATATGCGTATACATACATAGGAGTACACACATATGTACACAAACGTAATTTTGTAGTCCCTTGCGTGCAAGTAAAAACCTCAGTTAGCAAGTATTACGATCGATCAATTGGTGAAGCGTATAAACATGTAGAATTCGTCTTGGTATCCCGCGCATTCCAAATGCAATATTAATACGCGCACTTGAAACTCATACCGCACAGTCCCCAAAAAGTATACCACTATAACCAAACACAGTAATGTAACTAATCACGAACAATGATTACCACCGACCTGAAGAGTCAGAGTGGCTACAGAAACGAATATCAGCGCATGCTCCAATCACGATTCTCCTACTACACAGTGCTGCTGACATAGAAATGTACCGAATGTATAAATGTTGTGTATAAACAGTCTACATATGTATGTATGTATGTATGTATGTATGTATGTATGTATGTATGTATGTATGTATGTATGTACAAAGAATAGAACAGTGAAAATCAACGCTACCGAAACAAATTCATGAAACCAAAAAGACTAAAATTTCTTTGTCCGTTTATCGTACTTCTGAATATTAATTTAATAATTTATTAAACCATAGCCATCTGAAGCACGACACACAATGTGTAGATTACGTATGTTTTCAAATATCAAATCACAGAACTTCTACACTGGATAGATCGTTGTGAAGTTCTACAACTGGTCTAGAACATTTCAAGATGGCAAGTGAAACCCGCCATTTTCAAACCATTAAAGGCTAGAAACTTGACATAAAAATGCGATGTATGTATCTAAAAATTGCTCTGATTGTTTCATTTGACATCATTATATACAATTATAAATATCTAAAATATTAAAAAAGGAAATAATGACAATGGTTAAAGTACTGTATAAACTTTATATGTAATATGTAGTACTACGAAAAAATATTGTATATACAACAACTTTTCTCATTTTGATTACAAATCCGATATTTTAATATTGATTTGTTCATGGGAACCATATTATGTATCTAGCATGAAATCATTCTAAAAGCAGGAGGTAAAATTGCGCTGTAGTAATGGTAACATGGATGAATCGTATATGAGGACCAGCTGCAAGTTTTATGTACCCGGTCCTTTACCTGTTCTGTAATGTTCTATGAAGTTGTACATAACACTTATTAAGAACCAAAATTCGACATATACTGGTAACTATGCTATCAATATTTTGAGTACATATTATATAATATTACATATATTATTCGAATGTATTTCTGCATAAAATTGTACAGAAACGCTTTATATGTTTTTTCTTTTAGGTTATATTTATTTTGAAGTATTTCTGATTTCTTAAGTAACATGTTGTTTGAAGTCATGAACAATTATTTATTATTTATTAAAAATTATATTAGACTACCTTTATCTTTTGATCGTTTAGTATATATAAATTTTTCATTTTAGAATTTGCATAGTCAAGAAACAAATTTGTTTACAATGCAACGAACCTTATTGCAATTAGGTACGTTGAATGCTACTATTGCTTTAACAATATTACCACATAATTATTACTTAGACAAATATAGGGGACTCAGAGCTAAATATCGGTAAATGTTTGAAAATATTCAGAGCTTATTACTGATATTTATTTTAATGAGATATTTACTTCAATGTTTTTCTAAACTAGCATGAATCAAGAAGAAGAACCAGTTAAGGAAAAATGTCAAAAGAGATTTGAACAGGTCATGGATGATATGAAATTATCAGATGATCGTAGAGATCGCCTAAGTTTATTCCACGTTTATGGTTATGATATATTTTCTGCTGGATACTACTCTACTATATTTGGTAGAGGTGTAATTGGAATTCCAATGAATTATGAATATGAAAGTATAAAGGACGTAGACAAACAGATGCTATTTATACAAGATAAACCTCTTGATTGGAACAAAAAAGAATCACATGTTTTCTTAGAATCAATAATACTTTCAGAAAATGCTCAAAAATATGCAATGGCTCGAGAAATGATGAAAATACTAACCAGAGATATACGTTATGAAACAATGACGCATGCCGGGATTGGCGCACTTGCAATTTTATTGTTTGAATCAATGCTTTACTTTGTCAAGGTGTTTCGGGAAAGACGTGCATATCAGGTTTTAATGGCACTTTTTACATATAGTGGAGCATTTTTTACTTGGACAATAATAAAAATTGAAAACAATTGTAATAGAGATATTAAAATTGATGAATATTTGCTTTCACTTGGTTCAAATTATGTTAAAGGTGCTAATGAATTTTATAATAAATTATATGAGAGAAATAAAGCTGTAAAATTGATTCGGGGAGATAATAGCAAATCATCTACATATATGCATGAATACCTTTTAAGATGGAATAGAGGCCTATCAATACCTGAAAGACAAAGTTTTTTTAATTCAAGATTACAAAACATTCAACAATTG